TGGAACAAAGAATGCTGTTTACAATGTTCCAGCATGTGATCCTGTCGGTGATAGAATATGGACTTGGAATGATTACTATATCAAAGAGTCAGCTGATTAAACTTGAACGCATACAGAATGCAGCCATGCGAGTAATTCTGGGATGTACAAGAGATACCCCGGTAGTATGTGTGCGATATATGCTTGCACTGCCTACTATTACAGATAGGCTCAATGGTCTGCAAGTAAAATCATATCTCAGAGTAGCTGCAGACAAGAAGCACCTCCTGCATGAAGCCCTGGGAACAGCTAAGGGTCACAGACTGAAAAGAGGAAGTTCTTGGATAGTGCAAGCTGAAAACACAAATCAGACTTGTGGTGACGTTTTGATCTGGAAACAAGGGCCTCATGATAGACTGTGATCGGCGAAAGGCAGCAGATTAGACATGATTAGTGATTAGAAAGGATTGTCATCACAGCACACAGGACAAATCCATAGGTGCTCCGATCTCCTCCTCAAAATCCCCACAAGTGTAAAACAACTGATGACGCCTATTATGTGTTGGTTAATGAAACGTCATGACCACTTAGTGAAATGTTCATTTCTTGCAGCCCCAGGCTGTACTCCCGTGCCCATCAGTCTAGACAGAGATACGGAGTCATGTCCTTTGGCGTGCTCCTCGGTACGGTAAGTGCAGTGCATTGATAACATCTCTTCTGTCCAGTACTGGGCCAGCCATAGCAACCGCAGTGTCAGCAAGATAGTCTGCACGCTCGTTCCCTTGAAAACAAAGATGAAGGTTAGGGCAGATTTTCGTGAAGTGCTTAGTGTTGCGATCCATTCTTGCCTGATAAATCCAGCTTGGATTTTTTAAAGCTTATTCATCGAGTCACTAAGAATGCATACTTGTGTAAACTTTTGAGTACCAAGCCATGCTAAAGTCCTTGTTACAGCCATAGTTTCCATTGTAAGGTTGCTAGTTGTAAACAGCGAAGGCGCCATTCATTTTCCTTGATAGTTTTCCCCTTTGAGCTTACTGTGAATGCCCATGCACTTCGCTTGCCCCTCCTTTTATACTTCTCGTCCCTTTTAGGATGAAATTTTTCGTTATTTTAAGCCCTGCTCTGGCTTTTGCCAGGGGCCGCAATATAGCCTGGCCATAAATATGGCCTAAAGGCTGAATGCCGTTTCTGGGACCTCTCCACGGTGATCCTCACCCACATGGTGGCACTTTGTGTCATTGGGTGTTTATAGCTTGTGTTATGTCCTGGTGGGGTAGAAAGTCAGTCAGTCAGCTTGCCTCTCCTTAAGATAAGACGGGTTCAAGAGTCAAATAAGCTGCGGATGTCATTGTGGCCATGTTTCGGTGAGTGGTTGGGCGTGCAGAGCATAGAAGCAGGGGGCTTTCAGGGGTGATGCTGACTGGAGGCAGCTGGGACCGTTTTAGGAGTTATATAGTATAAGTAAAATAACAGTAATGATTGGCTTGGTGGAGAATAGAAAGTATGTATGTTATATAGTAAGAAATAAAATTATAAAACAGAAGGAGATGAGACTAGTCTTATATAAGTTTTTAGAGGCGGTGATGAGCAGGGGCGGCTGGGGCTGTTTTAGGGTTTATATAGTTGAAAGAGAAGTGTGGCTTGGTGCACAGGGATATATTTTATATAGTAAACTATGTAAAAATGGCCAGACTGTTCTCTTAGTTATGAGATAACAACTGTCTTTGTAGTCCAGTGTTCGTTTATGCTATGTTGGCTCTTCGTATATAGAGGTGGATAGTTAGGCGCACATACAAGCAGATAGACAGGTGTACGGACATTTATATGGAACTCTTGGGCTTGCTGCTGAAGATGGGGATGGAGTGCTTGTGGGTATGTCCCCAGTGCTATGATGTAGGTTGTTAACTAATATAGTTTTAGCATTCACATTTGTTCTTCTTCGATGGTTTGTTCATCAGGTGGACAATAAAGAGATAAGCTATAAAACCTATAATGGCACTGGAGGTGTGGTTAAATTGTGAAGAATAATTTCAATCACACAATCAATCAATCAATCAATCAGTCAGATGCTGTCTCCACATCGGCTGCAATGGATCTCTAACCCACCTTGTTTTTTCCCGCTCTGGATGTACATTCTACAAGACAGCTGGTCGGCCATTCCTTGTTGTTATCCACTCATTTGTATCGCTGTCTGTGTCTTGCCTTCAACATTTTATAAGAGTGGCATGTCTTTTAACATTGTGACAACTGGAAAGATCAGTGGAAAAAGGGGTAGAGGCAGACCAAGAGAGATGATGCTGGGTGGGCTAAAAGATGGCATGGAGGGATATCATCAAGAGAGCTGTTCCAGTCAACCAGGGATCGTGATCTGTGGAGACGCATGAGCGCCCATGTCAGTTGGCAGGGCACATGATAATGATGATGATGTCTTCTATTATGGTTGAAATATTTTACTTGTCATTTTTTTTTTTCACCGGCATTCTCTTCTCGTTTCTTATCTCCTTAGAAAGTTTCAAATTTGAAAGTTTCTGTTTGTGTAAAATATGACACATTTTACTATACTTAAACAGTATTTAAAGTGCTGGAGATGTAGATATACAGTATAATATGTCATATTTGTTATTCAAAACAGGGGTTCAATGCCCGTTACTCCATCCTTAAAATGACTGGAGCGCCTGAGTCCCCAGGTTCCAGTACCACTGATTCAAGTACAACCACAAAACAAATCAAGACTAGAGTAGAATTTGTATGCAAATAATGACTATGGCTTTCAACATGTCTCGCAGGTAGTCAGGGAATTTCCCCCTGTGGGTTCTGGGGCCACATTGTTTGGAAATCAAGAATAGACCAACTGCCTTCCCAATGAGCATGTCACAAGATCTGACTAATTGGAAGCTTCCTCTAAAGTTAAGAGTGCATCAAACCAACAATCTGTGTAGAAATAAGTCAGATCTGTAAAACGAATCTGTACACAACACTCAGGTTCTGGAGCATGACTAAAATTCAGAAGAGGACGAATTTCAAAGACGGTTTGCCATATATAATTTTCTGTATGGGATACATCACCATCAGTTTCAACTGTTGTCATCAAGCGTCATGGTGAGGAACAGTTTGCGATCTATTGCTTGATGGGTTGCAATTACTATTTCATGTCGATGTAGAAGGTTTTTTTAATTCATCAGGCTATCTTCTCTGCTATCTTCTCTTAGGGCATGTCTTGCTTCTACATTCCAAGAATGGAATCTTTTCATGTGTAGCGCATGTCTTGGTAGTTGTCTGGTCTTTTCATGTGTAGCGCCTGTCTTGGTAGTTGTTTGGACTGTGTTTTAATGAGATGAACAGACCGTCTGATCGTCCGTTTCTCAATGTATTTAATACATGGTGTTGTTCCCACAGTTTGTCTGATAGTATCATTTCTCAATTTGTTTTGGATGGTTAAGTTGAAATAAAGGATAAAGAAATAATATTGCAACTAAAATCCAGAAATATCCACACACAGTTATTTGGCAGTCTAAGTAAACTATCAAATTTAGCAAACATATATTTTTTTTTAAATGGAATTTGTATGTACATACTACTCATAATTATCACATACTATTTATCATAATCATCATCATATGCATTGATGACTGGTATGAGTGATCCTACCACTCTACAACTTGTGATCTCAACTAGCATGTATCAGTCTGCATGCTAACACCCTTCTAATGTCTTGGAAAAAGGCTGTCAAGAATCTGTTTTGTATATTGTCTTACTCTTCTCCTCTTTCCAATGGTCCCAATATTCTTAAGGAACATCACTTCAAGTATCTAGCTCTTTAGATACAGGAATGTTTCACCTCGGCCTGAGCCAGATAGAAGGAATATTTTCATGTATCATTTCATTACATGGTAATTTGAAACATCACAACATCATCATGTGCCATGCTGAAAAGCGCAGGCAGTCATGTTTCACCATTTTACACAATCACCAGAATCATGTTGATATGGCTTTGCCACAAAGGTATTTATCTATTTGCCTTCTCCTTGCTCTTTTCCATCAATCTTGTCAATTTTAACTGAAGTCTTGAACCTCCTTGAAACCAGGGTTTAAATGTACAAACTGGAGCAAGTCAGTTGAATGTGCTTTAGAGTTTTGAAGCTTAAGCCATAAATACATAAGACAACCACATTTAATAGAAAGAATGAAATATTACATCTTTCAAAAATAAAAAAAGTAGACCCAGAAAATGTTAAAAACATTAATTTTAACTGTGTACAGAATGCGTGTTAAATAATTATAATATCTGAAATGCATGTCAAAGTCAAACGTTTAAAAAAAAAAACTGTGTGGCTCTTCCATTCTTCTTCTTCAGCATTCCTAGTCCTTGAGGTTCATTGGTGCAGATATCATCTGCCTCCATTCATCTTTCTGGTAAGCCTTTTCTTTCCATTGGTGACACCAAGTGTTTACAGGTCTGTCTGGACCTTATCACTCAGTCGTCTTCTTGGTCTGCCATTACATCTTTTAAATGAGAAAGTCAATAGAAAACCCTAAGACGAATTTTGATGAGGGAAGCTAAAGGTGCTAGACTGTATACCATCCAGGATAATTTTTTTTTATTTTTTTTAATCGATCACCGGCTGTGAATTCCAGTGGAAGGTCCCGGTTAATCGTCCGCTTGGACTTTTGGCTTTCACCTGGACCTGATTTTTGCGTGTACAACCGTTTTTCATTTCCCTGCCTCATGGGCAGCTGTACTCCGACTTCGAAGGAAGACGTCAGGCCTATTTCTAGCATCCAGGATAATGAAACAGTTGCACAGGATAGAATATAATGGAAGAATAAAAGTGCGAGCCCTATGTGATGGATAACAGCACAACAGGATGATGATAATGACAATGATTATTATTAGGCATATCAAAAAGTATGCTGCTCACCAAAAAAAAAATTGTCACTCTTGTAAAAGCAACTCATTGAGCTTTTAAAAGAAACATACTAATTATAATGAATGAGATATCAGTCAGACAAGAAAGAAATCAGTCTATGCCTGTGTTCATTATCTCCTCTAAGACCTCAGTGTCTCTCCCTGACATCGATGTCAAAGCCTCTCCAAGTCTGAACACTCTAATGTAACCTTGACCATCCCCAGTTGCCAAGATGGACTTTCTGAAAACAAAAACATATTATTTTTATCTCTTCTTTTTTCTTGATCTGGTCTGTGTGCATTTTTACAAAATAACATAAGAAAAGGACTGTTTACTCTCTTCTGTTCCAGAGGTAGTGGACTAATTGTCTAGCAATCTCTGATAAGGATGAAATACTTGGAAGACCCTTGTATACATACACAAATCTCTCTCTTCCCTCCTCCCTCTCCCCCCCCAAACAAAACAAGTATTTAATAAAAGTGATCCTTTACTAAAACTGGGAGCGGATTTGGTGTAGCAGCTTGACTCTCGCCTGTGGATCTGAAGGTCCTGGGTTTAAATCTGCATGGAACCAGATTTTTTCAAGCATAACTTTGGCTCCCAGCCTTAAACGGGTCCCAGGAAAAGTCTTGGAAAGTAAAAGATGCTCACATGCTTGATACACCAGTGACATGTAAAGGGACCTGTATTTTACTGTCAACACCAATCATTTCCTTTTAGATTCCTTTGGGCACTTAGTTAGTTAGTCTTTCCTCTTGAGCCTAGGGCGGTGCGTAGGGCAGAGGTCACAGCTCTCCATGTCAGGTGGTTTGTTGCCACCTGCTTTAAGTCTTGGATGTTAGGCCCATAGCTGAGCCTTCCCTGATGATGGTTTTATGCAGGGTCTTTCTTGGTCGCCCTGTCTTCTTAGTGCAATGCAGAAAATGGTTTTCATTTGTATACTTTATATGTTAATTTGACTCTTTCAGCACCAAGCAGTTATTACTTAAGCTCCTTATATCCCAAAGATTTGAGCTTAAAAGCAATATTTACTTAGCTCCAAAGAAGTTCAACAAGACACTGTGGGGCAGAAGTGGGTGAGTTAATAATTCAGATACAAAGGGATAATTTAAAACCACCAGGGGTAGAAGACAGCAAGTGCATTATGTTATCTTTGGAAACAACAGGAGTTGTTTGGTAGTGAAAGAGTTAAGTGCTGTGATTCTGTTATGGTTTTGCTGCAATTCTGCCTGCCAATGTTATCTTCTGTCCTTCATGCAATGATGATAATCTGAACTAAATTGAAACCTTAAGAATTGAATTAAAAAAAAACACACACAAAAAACTGTCACTTCAGTTTTATTTCTAAACATGAATTAGGTCTAACAACAATTTTCATTACTTCTGTTGTGAGTCATGATATCTGATACATATCAAGACTTCAGTCATAAATTATTATCTTTCATCCAAAAATGTAACATTTTCTGTCGCAAATAGTTCACAAAGTGTGACCAGTTATGGCCCACATAATGTGCTAATGTCTGTTTTGTTTGATTTAACATTCTTAAAGAGGTCTGACTAGTCATTCTAGCATATAACATATTATGTTTTGTACAAAGTGTGTGTGTGTGCACCTGCATGTGCACTGCTCTTTCAAAGCAATTAACTCAATCTTTTTTTTCACTATAAAAAAAAAGAGTAAAGGACCCTCTTCCACGCCTTTAGTCGTATAGGGCATATATGGCTAGACCTATATTTTTATAGACCAATCGGCACAAGTTGGGTGATGTGGTCAGCATCACGCCGGCTGCCTTTACTTTCCCGGTACTGCACCCGATACCCACTGAAGGCTGGGTCAACCTGGAAGCCAAGATAATTTTTTTTTAAGTCTGGCTCCGCCAGGGAGCGAACCCACAACCTTCTGATCCCCGATGAGCGTCTAGCCACTAGGCCCCGGCGACTCCCCTTTTTTCACTATGGTTTCTATTATCTGCTTTTCAATTTTATAGGACTCAAAAAGTTTTTAAAAACCTAAAGTACTTACTGCTGAGTGTTGAACTGCAGACTATAGACAGGCTGTCTGTTAGGACTAGCCTCCAGCTTATGAACTGGAACCATCTGTCCTTGGCGCAGGTCATAAAGAAGTAGGTTTCCATTTTCTGTTGTTACAGCCAGTACTGACGGCTTCACAGGTGACCATCTAGCAGAAAACAGATACCCATCTCCTGGTTCAATTGTCACAATGGGATGGGCCTGTCATGTACAATAAAGGCATATTATGTTTGAACTCTTCATTGTCTGGAAACTAGCTTTCATTGTGTTTTGTATGAAAACTTTATTATAATTTTTTTTTTTAAATAAAACACTGCACATTCCTTTTGGCTTTATTCTCTGATAGTGTCATTTAGATTCATGACACTGCCGGCTCACTAGCGTAGTTGGCTAAACCTGACTTCGCAGCGACCGGGTAGGCAGAAAAGCTATATTTCTCTTAGATATACAGTATTTATCATGGAATCAAGGCCGAGCCAAAGGGTTAACAACCCACGGTTTCTGGATTTTTGAAAAAAAAAAAAAAGATAACTGACACTCAATTTTGTATCAGTTGTCAGTTGAGTTTTTACATGTGTGGTTGTGTGAGAGCATATTGGCATGTACTTGACGCCAATGCAAAACAACAAGATTTACAGTACTAATGTTCTGCACAGGAAGCACATGAGTGCTATCAAAGATAAAGGTCATAACCATTCAAACCAACAGCTGTTTGAAGATGACCTGAAAACAAAAATCCCTACCAGCTACAGAAAACACAACATCATCGAAAAGATATGAATTACAGAGAAAATACTCATATTTAATCTGCTAAAGAATCACACAGTATAAGATTAGATATCTGATAGAACTGCATTTTATAACCTCAGAAACTACAGGTATTCACCTATATATACAATTCAGTATCACAGCTGCTCTGCTTTCTAGCTCTACAAAATATGTGCTGGTCTGCGAACTTTGGGAACTTACATACAGTACTCAAATAAAAGCAGTCTGGAGATGAGCAAATGCTGCTACTTTTCTACCCATGAAGCTGAGATTTTAACAAAAAAGCATCACACATTATGAAATACAAAGCCTATAACAGTCAATTACTGCAGTCTTAACTGGCTCAAAATCATCTACGCCGGTTCAACACACAATGAATCTAGCCGAAACCATTGATAACTTGATCACATAATGCAACATTTTTTGGGAAACACAAACATACGTAACAAAGAAGCATACTTGGCTTGAGATAGCAAGCCAGTCGGCAGCAAACAGTAAGAGAAACACTTCACAACTTTCAAGAAGAATAAGTGAACCAACAAAAGAGCTGCTTATTACAATGCTATTCAAAAAGAAGTAAACAATCCAAAGAAAAATGATATAAAAAAAATTACAACACAGAAAAGAACCCACCCTCACCCCCACCCCCCTCGAAGGCAACACTGGACTTAACACAAATTTAGAGAACAAATATTTCCCAAGAACCTATTGCAAAAATAGCAATGATCTATATAAGGTAGTTCACAATACACTATTGTTATGTCCAAGACTTACTACAGATATAGCCTTTCCAACTATAAGAAACGCATTCTCTGGAACAGTACAACTGCAGCTACCAGCATACATTTGTTTTAAAACTTGCATTGTCTGAAAACAAAAACCACAAGATGAGCTCACCTGCTCAAACTGTGAATAATCGGGGCAACAATTTACCTGTAACACACTGTACAGACGAAGAGTTTGGTCCATTCCTGCACTGAGAAAGGCATTTCGATGAAATCGAGAGTAGTCAACTGAATGCACTGGTCCATGGTGGGGGTTGAAAGTGAAAGTCACAGGCGAACATAGCGGCACTGATGAGTCTATGTAATCTGGTGAAAATCAGTGATGCATTATTTAAAAGTGATTTGCAACAATAGTGTATATTTTTGTTTATAATACACACACACATATATATACACATACACAGCAGAAGATTGTATTACATTTTATAAATAGAAATGCATATGTTAGTTTTCTTTTCACAAATCATTTTATCATTAAATAATTTTTTTAAAAAATTAGTTCATAAAATCTTTTCTGATTCTGTTGAACAACTATCTGATATGTCTTCAACAGTTTTCATGTTTAAGACTGACAGTGGATAACATCTGTATATAATTAGTCTTTAGCAGAAATATACCAGTATATATATTTATATACATATTTTTTTTTTTGGACTTGTAAGGAAAATATAGTTAACATATCCTGGCTCTTGTCTCAGCCATATTTCTGCCTGATGATAATTTTTAACGTAGCACTGGAAATACCCCTTGGACAATTTTCCAACAGGAGAGGATGTGCTCCAGCAAGCCCTTGTTTGTCAGGTATGGATGAATATTTTGACAGGCTGTATTGAAAATAAGAAAGAGACAAATGCTATTCTTTCGTCACATAATGAGAGGGGAGACATTGGAGAACATTGTGACAACTGGAAAGATCAGTGGAAAAAGGGGTAGAGGCAGACCAAGAGAGATGATGCTGGATGGGCTGAGAACGATGGCATGGAGGGATATCATCAAGAGAGCTGTTCCAGGTAAACAGGGATTGTGATCTGTGGAGACGCATGAGCGCCTACGCCAGTTGGCAGGGCACATGATGATATTGAAAAACTACGTTATTTTATGTTTTTTCTTATTTAGTTGTATCACTGTCTCTGTGTGTGTTGATGAAGGCTTTCTAATTGCAGCATCCATTTTGCCATTCATGACTGCATTTATTTAACTGGGAATCTGACTAGTTGTACTTCTCATCTGGATTCATTTTTACATTTATTCTTGTTATTCTGGCAAGTTGCTATGGTGTAGCAGCTAGATGTTCATGTCCAAACCGAGCTGAACGTTTTTTTTTCTTTAGAAATGACCCTGGCTCCGAGATTGACCCAGCCTTAACTCTATGGGTACCAAGCAACTCACCAAGCATTTCTTGACTAAAAACATACTGTTCCTGCATTCTTCTATAATAGATAAACCTGCCTCAATGAACTGTATCTGAGTTACAAATTTACTGTCTTTTGTCACATATTGTATCTTATGTAACTGCTTCAGACATAAACATTTAACACTTTCAAGTATAGCACCTCAGAATATAACAGGTTTAAGTAATAACTACCTGGGACTAAAAGAGTTAAGTGGGTAGCAGGTAAAAGTCTGGGGAAGTAAAGGCGACCACAACACCCATCGAGTGAGCACTGGTCTACAAAATATAGGTCTAACCCTATATGCCCAGTGGCTTGAAGGCGTGGACAAGGGTCTTTTACTTTACTAGTTATTTTAAATAAGTAAAGTACATCACAAATACTTGAATTTAATGACTTGGTTAAGCACTTTCCCCTCCACTGCTATGTCACAATTTGAAGTTATCTTACATCAAAGAAGAAGATAACTCCAAAATATGACATAGCAATAGAGGGGAAGGTGCTTAACCAAGTCAATAAACTAAAGTATTTGGGGACATTTGTAACATCAGATGGACGATGTGTGACAGTAATGAAGAGTAGAATTGTCCAGGGAAAGGCGGCATTTCAGAAGATGAGGAGTATCTTATGTAATAAATCACTCCTGTTAAACATCAGAAAACGAGTACTGAAATTTTGCATTGAGCCTGTTCTGTTATATGGCAGTGAATCTTAAAATGTGAGCAAACAAATTAAGAAAAGTTTGGAGGCAACTGAGATGTGGTTCTTGAGAAGAATGTTGCGAATACCTTGGACTGCCAGAATAACTAACAATGACTGCCTGGAAATGGCTAATAAAAGTAGAACATTATATACAACAATGAGAAGGAGACAAAGTTCATTGGTCATGTGATGAGATAAGGAGCACTGGAAAATTCCGTGAGACTGGAAAGATCACTTGCAGAAGAGGCACAGGCAGACAAAGAGAAATGATGGTGGATGGCTTAAGACAGGGGCATGCAGGAATATCATCAGTGGAATTGATCCAGAGCACCAAAGACTGAGATCGTGGAGAAGCATGAGCGCCTACACCAGCTGGCAAGGCACATGAAGATGATGAAAGTAAATCCTCCCTTTTAGGAACATATAGCTTACTGGTTTAGTGGTGCTACTTACTTCCTGCAGGTCTGCCTGTAGCGTGAAGGTTGCATTTAAATATACAACCACTCTCTGAACCAAGGACAAAGAGATCTGGATCTTCATGGCTAAAGGAGATGCAAGTTACACCCACTTCCTTGTCACCTCTTGTTGCTCTCACTTTCATAGCCCTATACAAGTTATCGGCCATTACTAAAAACCTGCAATTGAGGCAAAGAAACACAAAGCACTTGTTTTATTTCAGCTGCTAAGAAAATCAGTGTGTGTGTGTGTGTAGGGGGGGGGGGGGGAATAAGATAAGAAGCAAAACAAAAAAACTGATACAAGATTAAATAAAATAAATAGTTCATGGGGTTTTAGAGAATTGGTAATACAATGATTTGATTTGATTTAAGAACCAACATCACAGCACTCGGGGCATTCCCATAAGCGCTCCATCCCCATCTTCAGCAGCCAGCCAAGAGTTCTGATACTAATGGTGCCAGCAGCATTCTGATTGACTGATAATACAAGATATCAATCTAATTCCTTTTCAACCAGTCTGAGATATTTTAGTGTATTTTCTCCCCATTTCATTTCTACATGATCTCTGTGTTAACTTTAATTCAGCATACATACACAACAAAAGAGTATGCGTATAATATAATCATTAAGAAATTATGTAAGTAAAACCTTGTTAACACCAACTAGCTTAAGAAGAGCTCTCAGTTAAAATGAACTCAATTTTGATCCTAGCAGTGATACATCAATTTGAGTCCCTGGCTAGCACAATTTTTTTTTAACGTGAACACTTAATTTTTCGGTTCCTCAGAATTCGTATTCATGAGCTTATACTATATACATAGTAACTAACAGTGATTGCAACAATATTTACGAAAACCTAACTGAAGGAACAGTTATAAATACGCAAACACTCACTAACAGCTAAACACTTACAAACATATCTTTAAGGTAACTACAGCTTTACAAAATGTAGTAACAATATATTATCAAGATTATAACAAAAAAACAGACTTTTGTTTGCAGAAAAAAGTTCAGTAAACACAGACACAGAATGCTGAAAACACATAATACGAGAACTTAGTTGTACCTTTGTTTGCTAACATGACATATTTACAAACTACTGAAAAATACCTTAAACTTTAACAGGGAAGTTGAGGCAATAATATACTAGCCTTAGAGTTTCTACTGAGGCAAACTTTGTTGTTGTTGCCACATGAGGCATACTGGGCAGATACTAGTGTGGCTAACAAAGCTAGGTCACAATAGTCTTTCAGAAAGGATTCACACTGGTATTCAGTATGATGATGCCTGCCAAAGACTAAAATATTGCATACTAGGACAGAGTAAAAAAAAAATACAATGAAGCTGAAAATCTTGCAGTATGATTTTATTTCAGAACTATCTCTTTAATGTTAACCAGATACATTTTCATGTTGCTGTATTAAAGTTTAACTCCCAGACTACTACAAATAATCAAACAACAATCAGCGACTACAACAAATAATCAAACAACAATCAGCGACTACTACAAATAATCAAACAACAATCAGCGACTACAACAAATAATCAAACAACAATCAGAGACTACAACAAATAATCAAACAACAATCAGAGACTACAACAAATAATCAAACAACAATCAGCCACTACTACAAATAATCAAACAACAATCAGAGACTACTACAAATAATCAAACAACAATCAGCGACTACTACAAATAATCAAACAACAATCAGCGACTACTACAAATAAGCAAACAACAATCAGCCACTACTACAAATAATCAAACAACAATCAGCCACTACTACAAATAATCAAACAACAATCAGCGACTACTACAAATAATCAAACAACAATCAGCGACTACTACAAATAATCAAACAACAATCAGCGACTACTACAAATAATCAAACAACAATCAGCGACTACTACAAATAATCAAACAACAATCAGCCACTACTACAAATAATCAAACAACAATCAGCCACTACTACAAATAATCAAACAACAATCAGCGACTACTACAAATAATCAAACAACAATCAGCCACTACTACAAATAATCAAACAACAATCAGCGACTACTACAAATAATCAAACAACAATCAGCGACTACTACAAATAATCAAACAACAATCAGCGACTACTACAAATAATCAAACAACAATCAGCGACTACTACAAATAATCAAACAAATCAGCGACTACTACAAATCAATCAAACAACAATCAGCGACTACTACAAATAATCAAACAACAATCAGCGACTACTACAAATAATCAAACAACAATCAGCGACTACTACAAATAATCAAACAACAATCAGCGACTACTACAAATAATCAAACAACAATCAGCGACTACTACAAATAATCAAACAACAATCAGCGACTACTACAAATAATCAAAAACAATCAGCGACTACAAAATAATCAAACAATCAGCGACTACTACAAATACAAACAACAATCAGCGACTACTACAATAATCAAACAATCAGCGACACTACTACAAATAATCAAACAACAATCAGCGACTACTACAAATAATCAAACAACAATCAGCGACTACTACAAATAATCAAACAACAATCAGCGACTACTACAAATAATCAAACAACAATCAGCGACTACTACAAATAATCAAACAACAATCAGCGACTACTACAAATAATCAAACAACAATCAGCGACTACTACAAATAATCAAACAACAATCAGCGACTACTACAAATAATCAAACAACAATCAGCGACTACTACAAATAATCAAACAACAATCAGCGACTACTACAAATAATCAAACAACAATCAGCGACTACTACAAATAATCAAACAACAATCAGCGACTACTACAAATAATCAAACAACAATCAGCGACTACTACAAATAATCAAACAACAATCAGCGACTACTACAAATAATCAAACAACAATCAGCGACTACTACAAATACAAAGCGACTACTACAAATAATCAACAACAATCAGCGACTACAACAAATAATACTAAAATAATCAAACAATCAGCGACTACTACAAATAATCAAACAACAATCAGCGACTACTACAAATAATCAAACAACAATCAGCGACTACTACAAATAATCAAACAACAATCAGCGACTACTACAAATAATCAAACAACAATCAGCGACTACTACAAATAATCAAACAACAATCAGCGACTACTACAAATAATCAAACAACAATCAGCGACTACTACAAATAATCAAAAATAATCAACAATCAGCGACTACTACAAATAATCAAACAACAATCAGCGACTACTACAAATAATCAACAAAATCAACTACTAAACAACAATCAGCGACTACTACAAATAATCAAACAACAATCAGCGACTACTACAAATAATCAAACAACAATCAGCGACTACTACAAATAATCAAACAACAATCAGCGACTACTACAAATAATCAAACAACAATCAGCGACTACTACAAATAATCAAACAACAATCAGCGACTACTACAAATAATCAAACAACAATCAGCGACTACTACAAATAATCAAACAACAATCAGCGACTACTACAAATAATCAAACAACAATCAGCGACTACACAAAATAATAAAAACAACAATCAGCGACTACTACAAATAATCAAACAACAATCAGCGACTACTACAAATAATCAAACAACAATCAGCGACTACTACAAATAATCAAACAAAGCGACTACTACAAATAATCAAACAACAATCAGCGACTACAACAAATAATCAAACAACAATCAGCGACTACTACAAATAATCAAACAACAATCAGCGACTACTACAAATAATCAAACAACAATCAGCGACTACTACAAATAATCAAACAACAATCAGCGACTACTACAAATAATCAAACAACAATCAGCGACTACTACAAATAATCAAACAACAATCAGCGACTACTACAAATAATCAAACAACAATCAGCGACTACTACAAATAATCAAACAACAATCAGCGACTACTACAAATAATCAAACAACAATCAGCGACTACTACAAATAATCAAACAACAATCAGCGACTACTACAAATAATCAAACAACAATCAGCGACTACTACAAATAATCAAACAACAATCAGCGACTACTACAAATAATCAAACAACAATCACGACTACTACAAATAATCAAACAACAATCAGCGACTACTACAAATAATCAAACAACAATCAGCGACTACTACAAATAATCAAACAACAATCAGCGACTACTACAAATAATCAAACAACAATCAGCGACTACTACAAATAATCAAACAACAATCAGCGACTACTACAAATAATCAAACAACAATCAGCGACTACTACAAATAATCAAACAACAATCAGCGACTACTACAAAACAATCAACTACAAAATAATCAAAACAATCAGCGACTACTACAAATAATCAAACAACAATCAGCGACTACTACAAATAATCAAACAACAATCAGCGACTACTACAAATAATCAAACAACAATCAGCGACTACTACAAAATAATCAAACAACAATCAGCGACTACTACAAATAATCAAACAACAATCAGCGACTACTACAAATAATCAAACAACAATCAGCGACTACTACAAATAATCAAACAACAATCAGCGACTACTACAAATAATCAAACAACAATCAGCGACTACTACAAATAATCAAACAACAATCAGCGACTACTACAAATAATCAAACAACAATCAGCGACTACTACAAATAATCAAACAACAATCAGCGACTACTACAAATAATCAAACAACAATCAGCGACTACTACAAATAATCAAACAACAATCAGCGACTACTACAAATAATCAAACAACAATCAGCGACTACTACAAATAATCAAACAACAATCAGCAGCGCCTATCAGCTACTACAACACAAATAATCAAACAACAATCAGCGACTACTACAAATAATCAAACAACAATCAGCGACTACTACAAATAATCAAACAACAATCAGCGACTACTACAAATAATCAAACAAATCAACTCAAATAATCAAACAACAATCAGCGACTACTACAAATAATCAAACAACAATCAGCGACTACTACAAATAATCAAACAACAATCAGCGACTACTACAAATAATCAAACAACAATCAGCGACTACAACAAATAATCAAACAACAATCAGCGACTACTACAAATAATCAAACAACAATCAGCGACTACTACAAATAATCAAACAACAATCAGCGACTACTACAAATAATCAAACAACAATCAGCGACTACTACAAATAATCAAACAACAATCAGCGACTACTACAAATAATCAAACAACAATCAGCGACTACTACAAATAATCAAACAACAATCAGCGACTACTACAAATAATCAAACAACAATCAGCGACTACTACAAATAATCAAACAACAATCAGCGACTACTACAAATAATCAAACAACAATCAGCGACTACTACAAATAATCAAACAACAATCAGCGACTACTACAAATAAATCAAACAACAATCAGCGACTACTACAAATAATCAAACAACAATCAGCGACTACTACAAACAACAATCAATACAACAAATAATCAAACAACAATCAGCGACTACTACAAATAATCAAACAACAATCAGCGACTACTACAACAAAATAATCAGCAATCAGACTACTACAAATAATCAAACAACAATCAGCGACTACTACAAATAATCAAACAACAATCAGCGACTACTACAAATAATCAAACAACAATCAGCGACTACTACAAATAATCAAACAACAATCAGCGACTACTACAAATAATCAAACAACAATCAGCGACTACTACAAATAATCAAACAACAATCAGCGACTACTACAAATAATCAAACAACAATCAGCGACTACTACAAATAATCAAACAACAAGCGACTACTACAAATAATCAAACAACAATCAGCGACTACTACAAATAATCAAACAACAATCAGCGACTACTACAAATAATCAAACAACAATCAGCGACTACTACAAATAATCAAACAACAATCAGCGACTACTACTACAAATAATCAAACAACAATCAGCGACTACTACAAATAATCAAACAACAATCAGCGACTACTACAAATAATCAAACAACAATCAGCGACTACTACAAATAATCAAACAACAATCAGCGACTACTACAAATAATCAAACAACAATCAGCGACTACTACAAATAATCAAACAACAATCAGCGACTACTACAAATAATCAAACAACAATCAGCGACTACTACAAATAATCAAACAAACAATCAGCGACTACTACAAATAATCAAACAACAATCAGCGACTACTACAAATAATCAAACAACAATCAGCGACTACTACAAATAATCAAACAACAATCAGCGACTACTACAAATAATCAAACAACAATCAGCGACTACTACAAATAATCAAACAACAATCAGCGACTACTACAAATAATCAAACAACAATCAGCGACTACTACAAATAATCAAACAACAATCAGCGACTACTACAAATAATCAAACAACAATCAGCGACTACTACAAATAATCAAACACACAAATCAGCGACTACTACAAATAATCAAACAACAATCAGCGACTACTACAAATAATCAAACAACAATCAGCGACTACTACAAATAATCAAACAACAATCAGCGACTACTACAAATAATCAAACAACAATCAGCGACTACTACAAATAATCAAACAACAATCAGCGACTACTACAAATAATCAAACAACAATCAGCGACTACTACAAATAATCAAACAACAATCAGCGACTACTACAAATAATCAAACAACAATCAGCGACTACTACAAATAATCAAACAACAATCAGCGACTACTACAAATAATCAACAACAAGCGACTACTCAGCGCGACTACTACAAATAATCAAACAACAATCAGCGACTACAAATAATAAACAACAATAACTCAAATAATCAAACAACAATCAGCAAACAACAATCAGACTACTACAAATAATCAAACAACAATCAGCGACTACTACAAATAATCAAACAACAATCAGCGACTACTACAAATAATCAAACAACAATCAGCGACTACTACAAATAATCAAACAACAATCAGCGACTACTACAAATAATCAAACAACAATCAAAAAATAACAAACAACAATCAGCGACTACTACAAATAATCAAACAACAATCAGCGACTACTACAAATAATCAAACAACAATCAGTCAAATAATCAACAACAATCAGCGACTACTACAAATAATCCAAATGATAACCCTTCCCGTTTCTAATTTCCAAATAATGCTGATAATCTGTAAACACACAAGCAAGCAAAAGCAATTCTTTAACATAATCTGACAGTTACATCAGCCAGCAAGTGAATATTTATTTAATCATCTTTGATCGTTGTTGAAATTTTACTTCATTTATAAAGGATTCACTTATTTGCTTCATTTATGTAATTGTTACTGTACTGTGCACCTGACAAGATACAGCAAAATATGCCAGGCAATAAATTGTGCAATCTGTTCTTTGTGTCTTCTTTGTTCAAATATTTATTTGTTTATATGGTGGAGTCAGGTTAATCTGTGTAGGTTAAGATGGGAAATTATTGAATGGGGTATCTGTTAAAGGGGGATACACTATATTTGGGTTCCAGTGCCCCACTGAGGAGTTTGGGGGAAGGGACTAAACCCCTAACAAATATGTCATTAAGGTGACAGTTAGGGATTTGTTGAAAATGTATATGTTGGGATGAAACATGCAGATATTGCATACTAGATGTAAATCACATCACAACATGTCAACTACCCTTTTAAGAGTCAATACAAAAGAAGAAGAAACTAAGAAACCACTGAACAAAGCACGGGGTAAAAAGCAGAAACTGTTCAACATTTAGCCTGAATTTGTTCTGTTTATCTGGTAGTCAAACTCACTGCTAAATTGAAGTAGTGATGGATGTAAGGTGATTATATATACTACAGTATATCTGAGCAGCTACAGACTTTTAGCTGCATACATAGAACAGTTTGACTGCCTGACTGAATTTCTACCCCATCAGGACATCACACAAGCGATAAACACCAGATGACACAAAGTGCCACCATGCGGGTGAGGATCACTGTAGAGAGGTCCCAGAAACTGTTTAGGCTATATTGCGGCCCCTGGCAAAAGCCAGAGTAGGGCTTCAAAAAATGAAAAATGTCAACCTAAAAAGGACGGGAAGTATATAAATTTATAGAACAGTTTGACTGACTGACTGACTTTCTACCCCACTAGGACCTCACACAAGCGATAAACACCTGATGACACAAAGTGCCACCACGTGGATGAGAATCACCGTGGAGAAGTCCCAGAAACCACGTTCAGACAATTGGCCATATTTATGGCCTGCCTATATTGGGGCCTCTGGCAAAAGCCAGGGTGGGGCTTCAAATAAAAAAAAATTTCATCCATGTTTAGAAGGACTTTGCACTTGTTGCTACTGCAACAGATTTATTTACCACTGAAATATGTACCTTCATCAAATGTAAATAAGCATAAAATAAACAAATATAACTTTTTTTCTGTGATTTAATGTTTATATGATAGATACGGAAGGCCCATGCCGATTGGTCTATAAAAATGTAGGCCTAGTTCTACATGCCCTATAGGCCTAATGGCGTGGTAAAGGGTCCTTAACCTTTACCTTTTTACTTTTTATGATTAACTGTGATTTCAATGCAGTGACCGCACATAAATTTGAATTTTCTTGGAACTGTAAAAACGTTTATGCCATCTTAAAATTAAAGAAAGACATTTCAATAAAAGACACTCTGCGACATAAAAAAACCAATGAAATAATTAAAGAAATGATTAACCAGAATGTGAGGAAATGCACTGACGACATTATTTCATGCAAGCTGACAATGAAAGCAATCTTTATCAGCTTTTGTTATTCGTCCCAAATCGGTTCAGATCTTGTCAATAAAAACTAGTATGTACGTGATAGCTATTTTCAACAAAACAACCCCAAATCATATTACAATCTTTACTAGATACACATAACATATTTATCAAATAGATCATTATGGTCTGAGGAGAATGACACTGTGAGGAGATGCTAGGGGATCTGGCCGATGCTCAAAACTCAAGGGAAAGGTGAGATGAATACACAATCAGACAGTTACTGGTGCTATCCGAATTAGAACTCCTAGACCATACTCTTCATCTGCTGCTGAAGATGGGGACCGAGCGCTTATGGGAATGTCCTGAGTGCTATAATGTTGATTTTTAATTCAACATATTTATCAGTTTTATATGTGTAAATTATAGTTACAAATAAGAAATCTTATTGATTTTTGTTGCAGATGTTTTTAAACAAATACTTTTACTACTATAACTTGAACTTGGTATACTTTCTTTAAATGCCATTTAATCCTAATCTATTTTATTAATAAGTAAAAAAAAAGGACTCTTTTCCCCACCTTTAGGCGTATTGGGAATACAGGGCTAGACCTATATTTTTATAGACCGGCACTTGGTGGGTGATGTGGACAGCATCACGCCGACCGCCTTTACTTCTAATGACTGCACCTGGTACCCACTCAAGGCTGGGAGTCATGGTCATTTTTAAAAAAAAGTTTGGCCCCGTCAGGTCGCGAACCCATGACCTTTTGATCCGCAGGCGGGCGACTAGCCACCAATGTCACGGCGACTCCCTGTTTTATTAATGTTTGTTCTAAATTTAGATGACTGCTAAGCTGAGTCAAAATGATCTAATACATCTCAGTTACCCTGAATTCACTACCCCTGTGTGGGTGTCAGGGTCCTATTGTGGGGAACGAAAAGAACAGACCCAATGTTTCCTAACAAGCATGATGTAAGAGGTGATTAATTAGAGATGTTTAATTCGAAAGTAGGAGTGCATCTGCCCAAGAGGCAAGGAGTCAGCCGTCTGCATAAAAAGTAAGCCTGATCTGCCACATGGATGTGCCTGCAAACTCAGATTCTGGAACAGTTCAGAAGTGGGTGAACAACTAGAACTTTCCACTGGAGTTTACAGCCGGTGCATTCAAAGAATTAACTATACTTCCATTATTTTTGTCAACTCCTTCTGTGCTCAATATGGCAATGCCCATCATTTTGGGGCAAAATTAAGTTAGGACAGTATGGTAAAAATGTCTGTATGTAAATAAAATAAAGTTAATTAAAAACTTACATCATAATCTCGTCTTCCTGAAGACTGACTTTTAATCCAATGAACTTTGCTGACAGGCTCCCTGTGTGCATCATTCCCAATCCCTGATGTTGCCAGCACCAGATCGTCTTCACGGCTTAGATCCCACAGAATTATTTCTCCTTAAAAAAAAATAAGATGGCAAACATTATGTGACACAAATGAAAGTTGTTATATTTATGTCTTATAGTGTATTCTCATTTTTTCTTATAAAAGTTAATAGTAATGGACCATACATATTATTATCCTATAGCCCAGCTCGCTAGCACAGTTGGTTAAAACCTTCTGTGCGGCGACCGGTGACGAACTCCTTGTGGTCCGGGTTTACTCTCAGAGGTAGGCCGAAAAGCCCCATTTCTCCCATATTTACGCCATCTATCATGGAATCAAGGCCGAAGGGTTGCAATATCCAAAGTACCCAGCCAAAGGTTTTACAACTCATGGTTTCTGGATGCTTAAAAAAAAAAAACTATTACATCTGCTGTCTTGTAACAGTATATAAAACACTAACAATATCAGTTGTCCTACATGGCTCTGATACCTGAGGTGCAACTAAACAAGAAACCTTATTACAAACTTTTGAGAACAGTCATATGACAAATCTTTGGACCCCTCAAAGATGCAAAGAGGAGAGAATGGAAAGTGAGAAACAACACTGAAATATCTAATCTGTTACAATCACTACTGATTACTGGTAATTTGAGGGCTAATAGACTACACTAGTTGCGGTATGTAGAGAGCATGGCTTTAAAAAAATAATTTTGTAAATGAAAGAGCTGAATGGGAGCAGACTATGAGGCAGACCAAGAAGACCATGGAGACATAATACACAAGAGAACCTACAAATGCTTGGAGTCACCAAGTGAAAAGAGAAGGCCAATTACAGAGAAGAATGGAGGTGAGCGATATCCGCAGCAATAAACCTCGAGGGCTCAGAGAGCTTAGGAAGAAAACAAAAAGCAATGGACCATTTCTAGTTTTGGGTAAAAATTGTCATGTTGCTAGCCCTATATATTTAAAGACCAATCAAGATTCAGCGGGTGATGCTATCAACTAGGCTAGATGATTTTGCTTCCTATATAATTTCCGGGTAACCCTTGTTAGGCTAGAGCGACTTGGAAACCTAGGGCAATTTAAACAATCTGCCTATGATGGAGATTCAAGCTTATGACAATCGGACCAGTAGGCTAGTATGTTAGCTACTATAATACCACAGCATCCCTATGTTTTGAAAGAGGCGAGGGCTTGGAGACAATTTATCACAAACATCAGAAAGAGACAGAAGTCATTTTTTGGTCATTATGAGAAGAAGGAAAGTGAAACATATGACCACTGAAAAGATCAGTGGAAAAAGAGAGAGGAAGGCAATAAAAGACGATTCTTGATAGCCTTTTGTCATGGCATGGAGGGATGTCAACACATGAAGGCATGATCACCCACACCAGTCGGCAAGGACTTTGATTATGAGCTTCCATAGAAGTATAAACCCAAAAAAATAATATTTTAGAAATAGCACACATTTTCCCTAAATCTATTACAACTACTACGGGTAGAAATTCCAGTGTTTGTAATGAAAACTGTGATGCTATTGATAATGTTTATTACTTGATGTATGAATGAAATAATGTAAGAATGGAGGGAGACATTTGAGGGCAGAATGTTTGACGGGCCTGCATGCCCAATTCTGAACCCTTTAAAAATGAAGTGTGTTCATTCGTTTGTTGATGACAATGGGAAAATTTGCTTTGAATCTGTTTATGTTTATTGTAAAGAATATGCCAAAGGTGAGAATGTTGGGATAAGCTGCAACTGCTCAGTGGTTAGTGGGCTTGCTCACCAAAGAAGCATTTTAACAAGTTGTGCTGCCTCCACAATGGAGGCTGGCTGTAATGTATTCCACTGCTCGTCCTTTGCCTTCACCAGCCGTAAACTCCAGTGTTAAGTTCAAGTTGTTCGTCCACTTTTGAATTTGGTCTTGCTCCAGAACTTGAGTTTTGCGTGCATATTAATTATATAGATCTAGCTTATTTGTATGCAGACTTTTGGCACCTTGCCACTCAGACAGATGCACTATGACTTTAAAGGAAACCTTTTATTTGTCTACTCTTAAGACATGCTTGTTAGGGAGGTAGTGGGTCTACCCCCCCCCCTCCCCGAATCAGCCCTGGTACCCTCACAGGAGTATTCAATGCTAATTATGGGAATATTATGTGGTGAAGCAGCCAACCTCTTCCACAGTAAGTCTCTCTGACCACTGTCTGAAAGCTACAAAAAATTTTATTTTCTGAATGATTTCACTAGCCTCTACACCACAGAGCTGCAAATTAGTATAATTAATGGACAAGCAAAGAGTTCACTGTTAAGTGCACAAGTGATTACAATATATAATTACCACTAAAGTTGCCACCAGCCAGCCATGCAGGATTGACAGGATGAAACTCTATGCACATCAAGCAGCAGGGAGAATCTATTACTGTGTCAGGTTTGTCCTCTTTGATTCCCCGTCTGTCTAAATTCCATGTACACAGTGCTGCCTTGTGTGTGCACCAATCTTCATGATCAAATCTTCCCAATGTAAGTCAGTCAAGGATTCAGTAACAATTTATTTTACATCAAATGTTTTTATTTAAAACTGCATATAACAATCAGCATTTAATTGTGATTGAACTGCTCATCTGTTATCAGGGAAACAGATAATAAAACTACTGTAATCTCTACCCAGTTTAGACAGCAGGGAACACCAGGGTGGTACCTGGACCAGCTATTATAAGAGCTCTACATAAAACGTCTCAGGAGGATGAACTGGGTATCTGTGATTTCCTTTGTTGGATTGGCGTCTAAAATGTATCTCTTTGTGTCACGGGGGAAGGGGGACTCGCCGTAGACGACTTCGTCACCAGTCTAAACAGTATCTGGGTCAGTCTCCTTTGATCGCATCAACATTGCAGGAGTTCTTTTCAGGGTTCTTAATGGCATGCAATGCTAAACCATTTTACATGGCGCACATAACCTAGTCACAATTATAACCTAAAGTTCCCCCTTCGGGGATGCTGGTTGAATGTGATCACTTTTAATTTTTTTCGTGCAAAGCAACGGAATAAATCTAACCAGTCAGAAACATTGATATAAAGAGTTGGCATGAGTTAACTGAGGGCTGATCTGTCCATGGGATATTCAAGGCAGAAGGAAGAGGAAGATTATGATTTACTGAATCATAATAAATGTTCAGCTCATTCAAGGTTGATCTTCAATGAAACCTTTTAAAAACACAAGAACATTTGTGAGAAATAAAACTGGCCCATCTCCTCATGCAGATACAATCAAGCAAATATTTAATCCTGTTTTGTAGCTTTTAAGAAAAATCTTACAGTATTGGTACTACTTTTAACATTTAATAGAACAATGAAACAGATTAGGTCTTGTAAACTGTTAAAACTCAATTGCCTTGCGTGTAATCGGTACCCAAAAAACAAAACAAAAAGGATATGATGCAGCCAGCGTGGAGCCCGTGGCATTCCAAGATAGATCTGTGACCTGCAGCTGATAAAATAGTTCTATGCTTTAGAAATTTTTATATTTTTGGTTCTTAATATTAAAAAAATGCAGTGTCATAAACAATATCATTTCTCAGAAACTGAAATACCATATTAAGTGTTAAAATATCTAAAAAGTATCTAAGGAGAAAACAAAAAAGACTAACAAATAAGTATTACAAAACCAGTGACTGAAGAAAACATGAAAGTTATGGGGCCAAGACAAGTTCTAAAATGAGAATGAGTTTAATTTGAAAGTCTTTTTTTTTCTTCATAACACTATCACTCAACACATGTGACAACCTATGCTTGACACTTCTATGTCAGTGATTTGGACCATTTTACATTATTGGCGCATCAGGCACATGAAGTTAAACTCATTTGTTTATAGACCAACAAATGCATAATGGGTGGTCAACATCATGCCAGCTGCCTTTATTTCCCAGGACTTTACATTATACTCATTTTCGGCTGGGTCGACCAGAAAGCCACAGCCACTTCTGAACAACATCTGACTCAATAGTGATTTAAATCTTTGGGCTAGAGGTGAGCTTCTGGCTGCTACACTACCATAGCTACAACAGCAGTCAATGACATGAGTTTACTGTTGCATATATAATGAATAAATGGTTCCTGGAGGCCAGGAGACAAGTATTTGAGGCTAACAATCACAAGAGTTAGAGAAAGTACCATTCCTACATTACTTTATGTTCTATTCTGCCCTGGGTATAAATGGTTAATACTAACATTATTAACAAAAACAGTTCTGAAAACCATGAAAAAATGAACCCAAATCTTTAACAGAAAATTAAGAATAAAAATCACAGAAACAAATCCTACACCAAATTCTTATGCAATTTAATATATATTTGAGTTATATTTTTTTTATTAAACTGTACCTGCTCTTTCATATCAGAATTGAAGAGGGTGTGGACACAAGTGACAGCTTCAGATACACTTTCTCTGTGGTCACTGACATCTGTCACCAGAAAAAAAATGCAGAATATACACAGATTATGAGAGTAACATAACAAATATCCACATGTGATGAAATGCAGAATATACACAGATTATGAGAGTAACATAACAAATATCCACATGTGACAAAATGCAGAATATACACAGATTATGAGAGTAACATAACAAATATCCACATGTGACAAAATGCAGAATATACACAGATTATGAGAGTAACATAACAAATATCCACATGTGACAAAATGCAGAATATACACAGATTATGAGAGTAACATAACAAATATCCACATGTGACGAAATGCAGAATATACACAGATTGTGAGAGTAACATAACAAATATCCACATGTGACGAAATGCAGAATATTCACAGATTATGAGAGTAACATAACAAATATCCACTTGTGATGAAATTAGTTTACCCAAATATGCACACGTAACAAGGGTGACTATAACATATACAAATAATTACCAGAGTAATTATAACATACACACACACACACAAATATATATATATATATATATAGACTATAAACATATAGTCCTTCTTCATGAATTATGTCCATCTACACATACAACTATAAAAAAAAAACATTCAATAGAGAAAGATAACTACACTAGTAGGTTTAGAACTGATGCTTAGAGCTCATTAGGGTCTAGACATCAGAGTCTATCTGACCGTACTGCACATGCTAGACTATCTGGAACTGCAGTTTGAAAAAAAATATATATTTGATTATGACTATTTAGACTTATGACCTGTTGGTCAAAACAAAAATAAATAAGTTGAGAAGACCCTAATTCAAAAATGGCTAATATACGACTGAAAATGAAGTTATTGGATTGGATTGGCTTTTTACCCCACCAGGACATCACACAAGCGATAAACACCCGATGACACAAAGTGCCACCATGCGGATGAGGATCACCGTGGAGAGGTCCCAGAAACCGCGTTCAGACATTTGGCCATAATGATGACCTGCCTATATTGCGACCCCTGGCAAAAGCCAGAGTGGGGCTTCAAATAACAAAAAATAACGTCCTAAGAAGGACGTAAGGAATAAAAATGAAGTTATGCAGGAATGTCCAATTTCAGTTCCTAATGATGAGGGCCAGGATAAGATAAGCATAAATACTAACAATATTTCACAGTCTTTTCAGAGTTGCTTTGTCCACTGATAAAGGCTGCGGACAAAACTTTCTGTTGTATTTGTGTGTGTATCTTTCTTAACCCTAAAAAAATAACAGGAAAAGCAGAAAGCTGCCACACACACACACACACAAAAACAGCATTAAATTCATACCATTAAATGCTCTGCTTTTCAAATTGTTGGCCAGACATTTCATTACCATTGGTTCAACGAGATGGAGGAAGTTAGCTAAGGCCTTACTGTCAGAGTCTGCTAGTTGAGTTGTGTAATCTCCAACTAGATCTGTCTGTACCTGTAAATGATCAGACAGCATATAATTATTTTACTTACATAGTTCAAAAAGTTAAATAAGGATTTCAAACAAAGCAAATAAGTATTTCATACCAGTTAAGTGTGCAGCTTAAATAAAAACATTTAAAAAAACCAATGTTAAAAAATCACTGTTTGGGACAAATACGAGAACATTAAAATAAAATAATGGCAGCAACAAAATACAGAATGGTGAAAATAAAAAGAAAAGCGTCACCGAAAAGACAGTGCTAAACAAGAAAATATAACTCGAAGAAGAAGTTCAAAAATTAAGCAATGCTAGATTTTATAAAAAGAAAAAAAAAAAAAGAAAAAGTGGCATTATAAAGAAATGCACTAATTACATTTCTACAAAGTGTTAAAAAAAAATGAAACTGTCCATTATTATACAGTATAAAGTAAATGCTAGTTATAATAACGCTGAGTTTATACCTCTTGGTCATAGGCTTCATAAGACTGAACTTCAACATTTTCTGACTGAATGTTCATAGTCTGGCAGCCTCCATCAGCAACTGACCTGTCAGTGATTGAATAAACTAAAGAAATTATTCAGCTCATCTTGTCACAATTACTAGGCAAACGTTAAATGATGATATAAAAAAAATATGCTTTCTAAAAAATTTACATAAGCATTCAGGGTGTCAGGTGGGTTACCTTTATGAACTCTCATCTCAGTTGTAGGTCCTTCTGCACACTTTGCTCTTGAGACCAGGTTTTTTTCGTAGTTGACGGTAAAATGTGCAAACCTGCAAAATGTGCTCAGGTGTTTACAGTCTCGTATTATGTGCGCACTGTGGGGACTGTACAGTCTTTATTGTATGCATGTGGTTTATGAGCATGCAGTGTCTCTTTCTTAGACAGAACACTGTTGTATGTTGCTTTCTGTTGAGTCTGCTGATGGGGTCTTGTGGATGTTTTCTCCTCTGGTCCACTTATTGCAAGTCTGTTCCCTAACGCATTCCCTGGTATGCCTCAGTGAGCCAGGACACACTGGAGAAAGATTTGATTGCTTTCTGAGTTTGTTTAGCCGTCAGGTCAATTCTCTCTCCATGTTATCTCGTGGATCCCTTTGGGTCACCTGAAAGACTGACATGCAGTCACACAGGAAAACAATTGTGCTGTTTTTAATTTTTCTTTCCTCAAGCACTTTGGATGCACCAATAATTGCTTGCTGCTCTGCTTTGAAGTCTGTTGAGAGTTTTCCCGGGCACATGATGTCCCATCTTGCAGCATGATGACCTAACCAGTTTCTTCATTTTGTGCAGCCGTTCGAGTTTTGGTTAAGAGTTGTAGACATGTTCAAGGGTTTTTGCATATAGTACTAAGTCACATTCTTTAACCTTTCTGTCTATGCCCAGAATTGTTGCTGTGACTATATATGGTTAGGCTGTAGGTCTTTGTTGTAAGCCTGGATCATTTCCCACGTTGAAGGGTCTTCAAAAAAGAATGTCAATGTTTTTAGCACTGAACAATGTTGATAGATGGTGAAAGCTTTGTCTTTTCAGTTTTTTTGTGTTTGTTAAGTTGTTTGCTGTTCTGTGCATGGGATAGTTGTTTGTGCGTTTACATTTTCTGTCAGGGTAAGCACCCCTTCCTCCCTTCGATGACTCAAGCTCTGGAGGCCAGAAGTTGTCATTGACTGGTGTGTTTCTCGTACCTTCAGTGGTGATTCTGAGACCAGTGTTCTGGATTTTGCTCAGTTTAAAAAAGTTATGATATTCCATTTTACTACTGTAAAATCCCAATAACACAAATTCCACAGGATTGAAAAAATGAAAGTTTAGAAAAATGTGTACTAACCGGCGACAATTACAATATTTTATCATAGCGGTCCAAGGAGAATGGCACTGCGGGGAGTTACCAGGGGATCTGGCCAACGCTCAAGGGAAGGGGGAGATGGATATTCAATCAAACAGTTAATGGTACCATTGGAATTGGATCTCTTTGATTGCTGTTGAAGATGGGGACGGAGCGCTTTTAGGTGTATCCAGAGTGCTGTGATGTTGATTCTTAATTTCACATAATAATAATAATAATCCCTGCTTGGACCAATTGTTTTCCTACATAAACCTTTTGTTTTTTCTGAAACGAGTTATGTTAATGAGGTTTCACTGTGTACTTTGTATTTAATTAATAATTAGTTACTGCCGAACTAACCACATCTGGAATCAAACTTGGTATCTCGTAAGGAGAAATAGATAAAGAGTAATGTGGGTTCATAGAAGGCAAGAGCACTACAAATGCTGTATATCTCTAAGAACAATAATAATAATAACAATAAATTCAATAGAAGCAAATCCCCTGTGTGGGTTCTGGAGCCCCATTGTGGGGAAAACAAGAATAGACCCACTGCCTCCCCAAAAGCATGTCGTAAGAGTAGACTAATTGAGGAGCTTCCTTTGAAGTCGGAGTGCATCTGCCTGAGAGGCAAGGAAACAACAGTCTGCATTAAAGTGAATCAGATCTGTAAAACTGACGCACACGCAACACTTATGTTCTGGAGCTGGACTGCAGTTCAGAAGTGGATGAACAACCAGAGCTTTCACCTGAGTGTACAGCTAGTGAACGAAAAGAAGAAGAAGAATAAAGATTTTCATCTCTGCATTATTGATCACACAAAGGATTTTGACAGAGTAAGAATGTTAAAAATGCTAAGCTAGTTGGTCTTCAAACAGCAGCACTACCTTTTCTGTTTCCGCAGAATGCAGCGTGATAATAATTTTTAAGGATGTATTGAGCAACAGATGTTTGTTCCTTATATAGTGAATATATTATGCAACAACTAAAAGACTGATGGAAATAAATGTGGGAGAATGTAGCATCAACAGTATCAGATGTTACAGTAGTAAATGCAGACAATGAAGAAGATCTGCAGTGTTTAGTGGATGCAGTAATATTTCACAGTGAGAAACTAGTCTGTAAGTACACAAATATTATTGTCATCACCAAAAAGGAAAAAATGCCAAAGTGTGAAATACATGCAAAAGGCAAAATTCTTAAGCAAGTTATTAGCTGCAACTATTTAGGATCAGTCATAACATCTGATACAAGATACCTTGCAGAAATTATAACAAGAATCGCTATGGCAAAGGTGGCTTTTGACAAAATGTAAAAGATTCTCACCAATAAAATGTTGTCAATTGCAGTGAGAAAAGTGTTGAAGTGTTATGTAGAACTTATGTGAAACGTGGACAATAAACAAACAAGCTGAAAAATATTTACTAGCAGCAGAGATGTGGTTTCTGAGAAGCAAGCAAAGAATATCATGGAAGGTTAGAAAAACAAATGAAGCAGTCCTCTGAAGACAGATAAAAGTCATAAACTTGTTAGATGTAGACAGTCAATGTTTTTTGGACATGTTAGGAGAAGAAAGGAACTGGAGAACTTAGTATCTACTGGCAAGAAGTCTGCTTCTTCTTCATGTTCACTGGCGGCCAACTGCAACGGAAAGTTCTGGTTGCTTGTCCACTTCTGGACTCTAGTCCTGTTCCAGAAACTGAGTGTTGCATGCCAATCTGTTTCACAGGTCTAACTAGTTTGCATGCATACCGTTGGTTCCTTGCCTCTCAGGCAGATGTACTCCGACTTAGAAGGAAGCTCCCTATTAGTCGACTTCTATGACATGCCTTTGTTCTTGTTCTCCCCACAATCGGTCCCTGGAAAACACATGGGGATGGCAAGAAGTAACTACTAGCAAGACTGATTGGAAAGAGAGCAAGAGGAAGGCAAAGAGATAAATACCTGCATAGCCTGATGATAGTGTGAGATGGCAAAACAAGACAGTATAATTACCGGCATGGCACATAATGATGATAATTTTGGAATTACTAACCATATTTAGTAAGTTTATCTTCACTTACAAAGAGCGTAAAGACTAGCATGTCATTACATTAGTCAAAGTCTATTCAACTGTGCATGCAGAATTATTAGACAGAATGAAGCAAACATATTGCATTTATCATTCATTCAATAAATAAGTTAAATTAAAGTTAGTTAAATAGTTGCGTATCCTTTATAGGATGTTGCAGAACCAACCCCAGCATTTTTTGGCTGCTGTGGTTATATAGGCAAAATTTACGTTCAGTTGTTCGCCCCTGCTTACTTTTAACTAAACGGCTTGCTCTCGGTACCCGGTACCACTGTCGAAACTCACGCAAGACAAACCGTACCCGTACACAGCTGGGATCGAACCAGGCACCACGGAATTACGAAGCGCGTTCGCAACGCATAAGCTACAAATTCAATAAATGAAAATCAGCAAATAGAATGCAATAAATTATTATTTTACAGTTGAACAATCACTGAATTTTACAATTGGGGCACAACAAAAAAACACCATATGATTATAGAAAATTTCAACACAGCTGGCGCTTGTTGGTTACTTCTGTAAACAATCTGTATCTTACTAGACCGCAGCGAAAACTGGCCGCTTTCCTATTGTTTGTTTTAAATTATAGTTACCACCTTTCTTTTTTCCAAGTTGATCTAAATCATCATATACCAAACCTTCGTTTTGTACATTAAGTTAATGTAATGTAATTTTGTAATATTACATGCACGTTAGTAAACGACACTGACTTATTTTATCGCATTTCATCATCCATAAGAAAATTCAAAATGATTACAGAATACTCACAGATTATAATTCCTATGGCAGCGAGTAGCAATCTTTGTATGTCGGTCTTTTCTTTTAAAGGTTGAGTGTAATTCTTCTTCTTTGCATTCACTAGCTACTTCAGTCAAATTTTCAAAATGCCCTCTACACCAATAAAACCAGCACAGTTAGATAGCTGTAAACAATCTCTTTCCAATGGTACCTCATTTAGGCTTGTATGTCATTTCTGAGCTGAGATATGTAGGTTTTTGTGGAGATGAGATGTAAGAAACAGCCGCTAAAACTTGTGACCCACAAACAAGAAGTTTTTTGACTGCGCAACCTACTGCGCAGTTCTGTATCGGCTTTGTTGACATTGGACTGTCATTGGACAAGATGGCAGGCAGTGAGACGCAGCTCACTCAGCCGCATGCGATTGCCTAAAAAATGTCACTGTAAATCTAAACAGCCAGAGTCGGTAAAAAAAATTTAATATGCAAATGTAAAATTGGACGGAGAATTCAACTGTAACTAGCATTACCACAACTGGTAATGTTTAAGGCCTAAAGCCAACCTCGAATTTACCGCTATTTTCAATCAAACTGATGACTAACAGAAAAACAGAGGAGTCCGGCTGTCGTAGACATGCGCTGTTAATCGGGTTCCCCCACGCTGTTTTCAGCTATTTATAGCTGGTCCAAATTCCCACCAATGGCAAAATTTCATGAGAGATTTGGACCCATACGGAAACCAGCCGAGATTTCCCGAACAAGTTCTGAACGGTTTCCGGGTAACGGAAATTGCCGAAAAGACCGCAAATTGTCGAAACTGTAGCAGATCCCGAGGGTACATTAGTTCAGTTTAGTGGGAGTTCTCTCCCTTGACTCGAAACAGTGAGCGGAATTTTCACGTAGGAGGTCGAAATAGTGGCCGACAATCTGATGCTTGTGGGAGTGGCGCTACTGAAATTCTGCCAAATATGACGCCAATAGCGGGCGGCTGGTGCCCAATCGGTGGCGAATTGTCCGTGTCAGTAGCATCCACCGTCCGTCGACTGTTTGAGTGTGTATGTGACTGCGCGATTATAGAGAACTACGGCGTCAATCGTCAAAATTGTCACATCTAACGCTAAACCTAACCCTACCCCTAACGCTACCCCTAATCCTACCCCTACCCTTAACCACGCAAATTTATCGGTCATTAAAGCATACAGATCGGCAAAAAAAAAAAAAAAACCCAAATATCCCCGCAGTGTCAAAAAAAAAACCCCAGATCTGGGGAACACACCCAAGCATTGGCAGCCCTGATGTCGACCTCACTGTCTTGTTTGATTCGTGACTTTTTCCGTTACTTGTTTTGAGTGCGGCCAAGGGAGAGAACTCCCACTAAACTGAACTAAATCGTCCAGCCCGCGTCCAACCCTCGTCCGGATCTGCAAGGAGAGCCGAAACTTTTGTTGTTTGATTTGATTTGATTAATTTGTACTTTGTCCACCTCAAGACTTTAGTCTTGTTCCAGAACCTGAGTGTTTATGTATACCCGTTTTACAGATCTAGCTTATTTGTATGCAGAATGTTGGTTTCTCATCTTTCAGGCAGATATGCACTCTGACTTTGAAGACTTTGTTTGTGTCGTGCCATACACTCAGCTAAGTAGCTGGATGACACAACTATATCCTTTGTCTACAAATTAGGGAAAATGCGATGACCACCGTCTGTGAGAAGCAAAACAATTGGCCACAACTAAAAACCATGCATATAGTCTATTTTTCCCGGAATCCAAAGAACCAGCCATTCTGTTTGCTTGGTTTATTTCTTAACACACCTGCATTTTCCAGGGAGCAAACATGCTAACTACCCGGCTCTAAAGCGATGCTCCAACTCTGCATGGAGCATACACCAGCCTCCGCCATGTCTAAACATGCTTTGTGAGTTACAGTTAAGACAAGTGTTTGCAGCAATGTATCCAGCCTATTCTCAAGCATAGTCCAGAAATTCAAGCAGTGTGATATTGTTTTGAAAGTTCAAATATAGAAACTGTTCAGTGTCATAAAAAAAGCTTTGTTTACCTCAAAAACTAAGGATTAATGTAGACTGCCTACATAATGCATCGTAAATAAACCAAACACTGATAACCGCTGAGAGCGGAGTTAAAGAGTAAATGAGATTTTGTGTCAGCTGGATTTCGATTTGATGAGACCTTAAGATAAATAAAGCCCTGAGGCCCTTGTCCAAGATGTAGTGGCTAGGTGCTCACCTGGGGATCGAATAGTTGTGAGTTCAAGTCCTGACTGAGCCAGTTTTTTTTTTTTTTTAATGGCTTTGGCTTCCCGGAACTTGACTAACCAAGTCGGTGTTTCACTTTACACACAGGACACCTCAAACTCAGCAGACACACATATAAATTAGATATGAGGTAAATAGCTGTCTGTTAGTGTCTTCATGCTGAACGGTTTCCAGAACATGTCTTGCAAGAGTGAGATAACACCTTGAGATGATATCCCAGTTTATGACCTCCAGTGGATTAAGCGCATGAGCAGAGATCACTCAAGAAGAAGAAGAAAGACAAACAAGGAAACAGCTGCTTGGAGAGCCTAAAAGTCATAATGTTATGTTTTGCTATTATTTGTTCTTGTTTGTAAATTTCAGTATGATATGTACAGCTGTAGTGCCAAGTGCTGTGAGAACAGGAGTGCAAGTTTAGATGAGGTTCAGAGGTGCATTGATAATTGCTCAACTGCTGTAAACAGAGCTCAGACTTACCTTCAGAATGAAATTGAATTGTTTCAGGTGGGTTGCATATTTCACAATTCATGTTAACTCAAGTGCTTATAGTTCAGAAGCTGTGATAACTCAGTGACCGGCTTGCTGGATGGCTTGGTTTTAAGGCCCCATTTTTGGGAAAACAAGATAAGACAAATTGCTTCCCCTCTGAGCATGGCATAAGAGTAGACTAAATGGGAGCTCCTACGAAGTCGGAGTTGGCACTGTTTTTTTTTTTTTTTTTCTTTCTGGCAGCAGAAACGCGATTACTTCTGACCATGATGCTACTATCTATCATTCTTATCAAGTGCTTTGTCGACTGGCTGAAGTCCTTCAGCAATGTTAACATGACCTAATCTATTTAAAATTGAATGACATGCTGTCGGGTAAAGCTGAGAATTTTTGTTTCCCCAGCTCACATCCTGGATTGTACTTCATATTCTAGGGCCAAAAGAAATTTGTGCGCTCTTATCCTGAAAAACTCGTATTCTGAGATTACACTGTGCTAGAATTGGCACCCTACAAAAATTTGCATTCTAAAGTTTTTTTTTTTTTAAAATATATATATTTACTAGCTGTACCCGGCCACGCGTTGCTGTGGCATAGTTTGGCTAAATGGAAATTAAAGAAAATAGAAATCGCACGTGTCTAATACAATCATTGTCTGCTCAGATATAGAGATAGTCTTTGATTCCCACCCCACCCCCACCCCAAAACTAAATCCACCTACTACCCTCTCCCTCATCAAAGGTTTTTGGAAAAGAAAGACAATGGAAATCGCACCTGTCTAATATAGTTAATGTCACAATCATTCTCTGCACATTTATATAGAGATAGTCTGGTTTTCCAACTTTAGAACACGCACCATATAATTGTGTCTTTATATTAGTGGTCGTTTAAATGGTGCTATTGGCACGGTAACAAAAGTGGTTATTTGGTTATCACATGCTAAAGCTGTTTGTATTTTTATAGGAGACGGAAGTAAAGCTACAACTGTACTTGTAAATAACAAAGTAAGTCGTAAAAAATAAAAAAGCGGAGGTAGCGTTAGTAAAATATAAACAAATTAGGTAATGAGAACTTGAAAATCACGTGTAAAGCTCTTTAAGTTCTCTTAAATTTAAGTCATTACCCCCCTCCCCTCCCCTCTTCCACCGACTACTGCTCTCTCCTTCTTCGAAATATTTGAAAATCATTACCTGGCGATATTTTGTTGTTGCTGTAACTGACATTGACATCCCTGTCCATCTCGACTAAAATGGGGAGCAGGAATTGTAATAGGTAGTGAATGGGGCTAGTGTAATATTTACCACATCATCCTTCAAGTACCAGTACAACTACTAAAATAATGTCACTGCTATCTGTGTTACCATCAGAGTAGACAGAAAGTCGTGAGCCAGAAGATTTGGTTCCGCATGGCTAGTGCTGTCGCCACAGACTGGTCAGGTTAGGATGTATAATTTCACTTGCCGACAGAAGAACGCCATAACCTTACCGGCGGTCTTCACATTAGAGCACTATGGTGTAACAGCCCAACCACAACTATTACTGCTGCTGCTACTTTAAGTGGGTAAAGCAGTTACTGTGACTTAAAGCTCTCTCAGTAAATAGTTTGCCCCCCCCCCCCCCCCCCCCCAAAATTCACCGACAACTCTTTCCCTCATTGAAGTAGTTGAGAAAAAAAACAACACTTGAAAAGCAAATGAACACAGGAAAAAAAACACCATAATTAGGAAATGAACGCCATGGTAAACAGCACAGCTTAAAATTCCAACGCAGATGAAATAACTAAATCTAAATGAAAATCTATAAAATTTCAGCGTAACCATGCAATCGGAAAGTTTAAAAATGCAATGATAAGTATGCGAAATGGTCAAATTTAATTATCAGATGGTTTACCCATTTACTAATCTTTTCTTTTTTTTTTTTTAATATTAAGGCAACATGGCTAGTGCTGTCACCACGATAAAGTAGATGAGGATATTATTTTAGTCCGGGGTATAAAAAAAAAATAAACTACTGCGGATTCGAACCCAGCTCTCCCGCACAGGAACCCAGTGTTCTAACCATTCGACCAAGCAGCCACTTAATCGGATAAACGAAAAGAGAACTTAACTATTAGAGATGTGTGTCCCTACTATTGTGTCCTGATTAAAACACAGTTCAAAACCGCAGGCAATTGTTTTCTCGTAGACAGATACTCCAGATATATTAATGAAACGGCACAACAATAGAAATCGCACGTGTCTAACACTGTTAATGAAGTCAATGTCTGCGCCGACGTCGAGCTAGTCCTTGATTGCCCCTAACCCCCCCCCCCCCCCCCCCCCCCCCATCAGGGGGTTGTTTGAAAAAAAAAACAGAAAATAGAAATCATGTTTAATATGGTTATTGTGGCAAATATAGAGATAGTCTTGTTTGCTGTACCTCGACCTACTCTATGTATTAGAGAAGGCGTTGGCTGCACATAACTCGCCTGCGAATGGCGGAAGCCTTGCGTTCTGACTATGGCGGCGCATGCGCAATTACTAACGTGGCTATAATTAGAAATCACTAAAATTATAAATATTAGTTTCAAATATTATGGCTTAAATTGTGGTCACCTATCTCTAACAGTGACAGGTTGAATTTCAAACCATGATGGTTCAACATCCGGTATCAAAACAAACATATCCTGAAAATTTCAGCTAAATTGGTTCAGTAGTTTCCGAGTCTATAGGGGGCAAACAAACACACAAACATTGATTTTTATATATATATAGATGATTTAACTAAATAAGCTCAGCAGGCAACCAAATGGGAAAGATTGTCCTATAGAGTTATTTTATCTTTTGCACACTAACAGATTTTTTAAAGTAACAAGACAAGTAGACTTTATTACTCAAGCACTGACAGGAAACGTAACAGCTGCTTTATAATTTTTGTTGTTGTTGACAGTTATACGTATGTTTGGATGTCTTAATAACAGCATCACATTTTCAAGTAAATATTTCAAATCAGATGTTGATAGTAATTTTCAGTTAGTCAGTGTATGTTATGGCAAGTGAACTGATTTTATGCGTTTTCCACAATACAGAATCGACTTCAGCGATGTGCTATGAGTTGCCAAGACAATGTGCGCGATGCCCTGCCTGTTAAACCTACAGATAAAGATGTTGCGAATGGCCGTGCAAATCTGGAGAAATGTGTCATTGAGTGTGCCAAGACACATGTTGAACTTGTTCCAGGACTTACCAAGAAAATATTGGACACTTTGAACAGCAAAAATTATTAATTTTATAAGATTATTATATATGGTTATGTTCATTGTGTGTTTCTGTTATCAAGTATTTAATCAGGAAGGCAGCGTGTGGTGTGAGCTTGTTAGTTGTGTGGTAGCAGTTGTTTACTACTTATTTGTCCAGTTTGTTACAAAGTTCACTGGGATCTTTAAAGTTGTAAATACTAATCATTTTTGGATGTGTTCACTCACTTCTGGAATAGGAGTAAAAGAGTTCTTACACTGGTAAAAGCAATCTCATAGTAAAATGATGTTGTATAGATGTGAAATGTAAATCACATATCGTAGGTCACGGATTATTAGGTAGGATATCCTCACCACTTTTCTTTCCTAGGCAGTGTTGATAAAGTTCTCAGTATGATCTAGTGTTTATTCTGAGGCTTAGTCAACTTTGTAGCCTTGCTGGTCAGACACAAATTCATGATTACTTAAGAAGCAGCAAACACAGCTGCCTATACAGGCAAGCATGTGTACTGCTGTGCAAACATCAGGGTTCGTAGCCGACCTGAAATCTTGATTTTTACCTTGAAATTGTGGCTCTGACCTTGAGTCTTGAATTTTACCTTGGAAAAGACATATTGACCTTGGAAAAGAACTGTGTGTGCTTCATTGAAGTTAGTTGCTAATCCTTTACAGGATGTTGGAGAACCAACCCCTAGCATTTTTTTAGCTGTTGTAGTTTTTCTAGGCATATTTTACGTTCAGTAGTTTGCCATTATACTGAACGGTCAGCTCTCGGTACCACTGTCAAAACAAATGCAAGACAAATCGTCTGCAGCTGCGATCGAACCTGCCATTCCCAACGCCTAAACCACAGATGCCAATACACCCATGAAAAAGCACCTTGCCTCAGTATTACTCTGACACACTCTTGAAAAAAAATTAAAAATACCTTGACAGTGATTGGTAAATTTGGCTACAAGCTCTTGGATCATGGTTAATTGTACAATATTTAGCTTGCTGAAAAATGCAACAACATCAAGGGTGTGTGGTCAAGGTATCCTGAAGAGAGAACCACTTCAATGCTCCCAACTGGTAAAAGGAGAAGTGGAGGAAAAACATTTTTAGAACTTTTAACAAATGAAGACCAATCTTTGTGAATTCTGACCCTATGTTTTTTAAACCTTTGTCCTTTTTTTTTTTTTTTTTTTTTTTTAGTAGAATGTTTTAGACATTTTAAGAAACAAAGAGTTCAGTATGGTACAGTGGTTTATACCATAACTGATTTTTGTCTGAATCAGTATTGTTAAGTAAAACTATAATTTATGACAATACATAGTAAAATATATTTATTCTTTAACTATAATATAAGCATAGTGCTACAAAAGACTTTCATCACACTCTCAAGGAGGCAGTATTAAAATGTCATTTGAAAAGAAACAATTTTCACATGTGTCTATATTTTTATTTTTAGCATAAGGCAAATAATAAATGATTACAGTGAGTTGTAGATATCAAATAATGCCACAGCTATACTGCAAAGCTTCTGATAACTGATCAACACAGGATACAGAATGGAAGGTAAGGCAAAGTGAAAGACCCATTTCAAATGGTGGGGGGGGGGGGGGGGGGGGAGGAGCATTTGGTACAATTTAAAAAAAAAGCAAACTGCTTTCTTTGAGAATTTTTCTGGTGGAAAAAAATGGGTTATAAACACTGCTAGAATTCCACACTAAAAAAATCTTAAAAATAATTAAATGCAGGCCATTAATAAACTTACATAAAATATATTTATATGCGTTTTTTAAACCTCAAAGTGAGAATCTCCAAAACACTTTTTAGTCAATGCATTATCCTGACTGAAACATTTGCGCATGAAACATATTTGTGGGGAACTGGACCCAACAGCATGTAGGCTTTGTGGCATCTGGGTAAAAGAGTTAATGTTTCCCTGAACTCGTGGCATTGGGTGCCAGTATTGCTGGTTTCTTCTTCGAGTTCACCAGCTGTAAACACCAGTCCCCATTGTTCATCTGCTTCTGAGCTTATGTTTTGTTAACAGAACTTTGAGCTCTGCATGCACATCCCATTTACAGATTTGGCTGAGTTGTTTGCAAACTGTTGGTTCCTTGCCTCTCAGGCAGTTGCAGTCTGGGTTCAAAAGAAACGCCCCTAATTAGTCGCCAAATACAATTGGCTTGCACCACACACAAAAGCCCAGGAAGCTGGATTCTGTGTTAAAAGAAAAATGACGCTATAGGACACACTTCCCACAAAGATAAAATACAGGGGAAATAAATTCTAAACTAACCTCTCTGCAACCGATGCTGGCCATTTTTCAAGGCTTGCTTTGACAGATGCAGGCCTTTTTTCAATGAACCTGAACACCAATGAATCAGAACTGCAACTCAGTTCCGAGAATTTATCCACCAACCATTAATAAGGAGATAGTGAAGCAGTCTACTGACACCCGCCTCACACATTCAAACCAAACTCCCGAAGTATGATAACATGGTGTGAGCAAACTAAATAATGCATTCTTAAAATTTTAAAGTTACACATTTAATCTACAGCTTCAAATTTGTGACCTCTCTGTTTTAGCGACCTGAACCACAGTGTGTTACTAAAAACAAGATTAACATACAAAGCGATTAATATTAGCGTAGACACTTTAATAGAGCATTAAAGAAAATTAAACTGTAGAAATGTGTAAATGTAAAGTGTAATTTCTTATTCTAGATTACATATAAAAATAAGCTATACAAAGTTATGCAGCCCCATCATAAAAAAGAATTGTTAAAAACAAGACCATGATATACATATGAGATGATGGAATAGTGTATAGATCACATACAACATAACAGTTTACAGTCACCTGGAGTCACAACTATCTGAAAAATGCTTTTGAAAAATAAGAAGGAAAAATATGTAGAAATCTTTGCAAAGGTCAAATCTGACGGCTATGATGCATATGGAATGCTAGCTATAGCTAGTCTGCCAAAATAATGGATGGATATATATATATATATATAAAAGCAAACCAGTGAATTCAAAATATACAAATAGCAAATGATCAAGCACTGTTTTACAAATGTTTTTTTATTTCTGTATATATTTATTATCACCATGCAGCAGTTGGGTGTGTTTTTTTTTTTTTTTTTAGAATGTCGCTCTCATTACAACATGCCAAAAAAAGCCACACTGCCCTTTAATTTTCCTATTTCGTGTCCTTTCCTTGATATCCACTGTCCGCCATCATGCTGGTCAACCTATACCTCTTCTTCCAGAAACCATACCCTCTATTACTGGGGCATATAGTAAAGTGTTTATATTCCTAAAGCCCTTTCTGCAGACATTCATTTCAAAAATAATCAATCAGTGTGTCAACAGAATGAAGGCTGGTCCCAATACTCCTTGCCCGGGTTGTTCACTTGCGGACCACTGTCTGTTCTTTGTTCTGTTCTTTGTTCTCCAAAATGAACCCACATGGAGATTTTCTTCTTTCAGCAACTCTTCAAACCTCTCATATGCTACATGGTCAAACCACAGCCTGTCATAACATTGATTAACTTTCTTTTGTTGCAAATAAAGTTCCACCCATGCCTAGGCACATGACCTCTTAAAGAACGCGAACTATAAAAATGTTGTCAACTACTGGCAGAAGCAAATCAAATATCACTACTCAGGACTGAATTCAGGGCTATACTGCTGTATGTGAGAACACACAACTGAAAAACTATTCCGTGTAAATGATAATCTAAAGGGGGAAAATGTAAGTAAATAAAATTGAAAAGATAGAAACACACAAACACATATATAATGTCACTGCAAGTTCACTGTGCTAACACAAGAAGCTTGCTACAAAACAAAAAAAGCAATAAGCTATGTACAATGTGGAGAGACGATCCCATGTCCGCTGCCACTGCGGAGCAAAAAGCATTCTGATTATATGAAAATAATTTAAGTATAATTACAGACATAAATATAACAGTTAACTGCACTTAGTTAACGCAACTGTGGTTGACACTCACATGGTAACAAACAGGTTACTTTACATAAGCAGGACAAATATAATTAACACAAGAAACGGACATGTCCATTTATGGTTACAATAGACTGTATAGCATACAAAGATAGTTGGAATAAACTATACAGCGAAAATGATATTAATTACAATAACTGTACAGCAGAGAAAGGAAAGTCATAGCAGAAGAGAAAGTGTTAATCGAGGTTTGAATATCAAGCAAATGGGTTGCCCTATAACTACTCCATTACTGTGCCAATGAAAATAATACACTATGTCCTTTAATGTCCCATCTGAAAACTAGTGAAAAATGTGTCAGTCAAAGCAAAATCTTGAAGCTCCCAGGTGCAAAGTAAAAGTGCATAAGGCCGCTGTAAGATGTGCCAAATCTAACAGTCTCACAACAGAACAGCAGCACAATATTGGTTCAAGTTGTCAGTCATGAAAGCTGTCACTGCACCCGCTAAAGTACATACCACTCAGAATGTAATCAGCCACCCGCCATTTTAGTGCAGTCAACAACATTCCACCGGCATAATAGGAACACAAATTCACATGAAATTATTAGTGTCATACCAAGTAACTCAATAGCTGGGCGAAGGAACCTTTGGACTCCTTCAAATTCACATGAAATTATTAGTGTCATACCAAGTAACTCAATAGCTGGGCGAAGGAACCTTTGGACTCCTAGTCAAAAAATAGGGAAATCGCATCAGCAAAACCCAGCTTACTGACAGTATCAGCCATTATAGCTTGAAGTCAAGGATAGAAGGATATGTCACACAATCTATACAGCATAAAAAGATATTGGTCACACAAAAAAAAAAAAAAACTATATACAGCATAAAAAGTATAACAGCTCATCGTATGGTTGCTTTTTGCATGGGTGAACATAAGGCTGGAAGAAACAAATTCTATATTGGTATGGTTTAAGCTTTAGCCAGATCTAATACAGCAACCGTCTAATAAATCATAATTTTTTTTTTTTTTTTTTTAAGGTGAGAGGATCAGCTTCACTGCCCTTGGTTTG